ATTTAATTTTAATGAAATTATGTTTTATGAATAATTATCTCAATTTAAGATTATTAAATACATATAGAAAATTAGAGTCATTATCATATAATACACACATATAAATGCTTTGTAGGAAAATGTTTAAGTATAGATTTCATCATGGATTGTAGATGACATATGTTGAGAGGTAAAATCATGTCACACACATCCAGCACAATTACCCAAGTAAAACATGGTTAAAAAATTTTATTCTAAACGGTATAAAGTTATTTCAAATCAAGTTTCCAAATTAACCACACTAATCGCGGTCTCGTGAAACTCAAGTCATTTCACTAAAATCAGTTAATGTACGGTCTGTTTAGATCGGGAATATTATTTCATGTATGAATATTAAACATTTGAGTAGTTAAATGTTATGATGTGGTGTACATTCTTTCAATTTATTATGTAAATAAAAGGGACTATGCTACTTCATGAGTTCATGCGATGCCACGTAGACATGAAACATCATTAACATTTGACTTTATCTATGAAGATGATTTGCACATTAAGCATTTCTGGTGAGAATTCAAATTGAAATTATTAAAATATTGGAAACACAATTTAAAAAAATAAAATAAGTGGAATATAAATAAAAAATAGGGGGAAAATAAAAATTTGAACCTAAACTTGGCTGATTGTACCAATTCTCACCATAAATTTATAATTTCATTAAATAATTGGACCATGAATTTAGATAACTTTTGCAATTTTTACCTTCTATAAAGTTTTTGTTAATTCACCCACTAATTTAAGCGGAAAAAAAATATAAAAACTTAAGAAAATCAAAACTAAGATTTCTACAAGTTTAATTTTGATTGACTTTGCCAGAACTTACAATTTTTTTCTTAAATTCAATTCTAATAATATTTTAGTCTAAATCGTGTCAATTTTGTAAAAGTTAATTATATGTTTTATAATTTATTAGACGTCAATAATATATTTTGCATCGATTATTTAAATCTAAAACTTGTTAGAAGGTAAATATTGCAACGTTTTTTACTTTTATTTATACAAGTGAATTTATGGAGTTGAGAGCAAAAAATAATATTTTTCTCCAAAAGGAAAAAAAAATTAAATGACATTAAAAAAATATACATATTATTACTATTTTGCCCAATTCTTAAAATATCTGCTTCTGACAGGGCAACGAGTATGAGATAAGATACGCCCCCGAAAGTCCTTCGCTTCTCTTCCCACCATTTTCATCCTTCCCTTCCACCATGCTCTCAGTCTCCGCCTCCGTCAACTCTCTCTCCGCCGCCGCCGCCCACCCCTTCCTCCATTCTCACCGAGACTCACCTCTC